CCAAATCTTAGATGGATTGATGGCCAAGAAAAATATCTCCTTGTCTTGAGAACTAAGAATTGGAGACCATAGCAGGAAGAAGGCTTGGGGGAAAAAGGGTTTTGAGGGCCAAGGGCCCCCCCTGGGTTGTCGAGCCACTGAGGAAGGAAGGAATGGAATTAAAAACATTGGCATATGTAATAGTATATGGAATGTAAAAGTAGCACGGCATAAAATTAGCATTTGAAAACTCACATGGTATAATCTCTAAAAATGTTAAATTATTAGATTTTTCTTAAAGATAAAATTAAAATCTCTGTACATCCCTCTGTAAAAAGCATCATAAGTATTAATGCAATAAATTCACAATTTAGAAATTTTGGTACTGGCTACAGAGTAGGTATAATCATTTTCTTTTCTAAGAAAAAATAAAAAAGGATAAAAAATGTACTCCATAATTAATAAACAGTTCTAGTTCAAAATCAACTAAATATGGCAAACAAGTGTAATTGGTATAAGTTCAGTATACCAGCAAATCTCTGTGTTGCTCTGGCTTGAGTATTAAAATTAAAATTTAATATTTCTCCAATTGCTTGTATTTATTGTTACTAAGTGTCTATAAAATATGTAAAACTAGAGTTATCAGGATATCTGTCTTAAATAGAACGAATGTATTTTTCATCAAAGTAATGGAAAATATCTGCTAAAATTACAGACGATGAGATAAGTACCACTCACTTTAAAATTACATAGAATAACCATTTTTACGAATATTCTGACGATACTTAGCAAGAATATTCTTTTAAGTCTAGTCTTCCAAGATATATGGCAGCACGGGTTCGGCAATGAGTATTTTAGCGGGGAAGGCGAATAGTTTTATAGCAGAAATTGCGTTTTCAGCTGACGGTGTTTTCAGTGGATTGCGAAGATTGTCATTTTTTTTATCCGAAAAAATAGTTTATGTCAAAAAGGTGTCTTATTTTTTTTGTATGTTAAAGAAGACCTTAGAAAATGATTTGGCTATTTATTTTAAGTGAACAGTGTGTATAATTAATTTTAGAGTGGAATATATTTAATTAATTAATAAGCTCTAACTAATTAAATTTCCCAAAGTAGAGTATTTTATTTATGCGTATCTTTTAATTTTCAATGTAGGGATTTAAAAAATATTGCATGGAAAAAAACTGCAGTAAATCATAATGCGGTAGATAAAGGGTTAAAAAGTAACATAAAATATTTCTTATTAAAATCTAGTTTGCATGATTATAACATTTCAGAAATCTACAAAATTCCTACAGATAAAATATAACAAAAAACATAAGAATAGCATTGAATTGCTTTATTTTGTGACAGGGTACTAGAATCCTTTGCTTTAGCTGTAACGAATAACATTATGTAATCTTACAATTTTGTTTTTGAAGATTTCTAACACCATCGGAAAATAGTTTCAAATATTTAATATTCCTTTAAAATTCTGGAATGTTATTGATAAATTTGGGGTCATATTTTATATATATAAATTTATACTTATATAAAATACAAAATCTTACTTAAAACATTTTACTCCATTTTTGGTTGATATTTTTAATGTATTGTAATTTCCTCATTCAAATGTAATTAAATAATTATTTTAAAAATAATGCAAATATTTACAACTAATTCTAAAATATAATGAAATAAAATAAAGAATAGGTTACTACTAGATTGGTTATATGTGATAGAGAGAGAGAGACAGAGAGCACATCTTTCTAGTTTTTAAAATGTCTAACTGAGAAAAACAGAATTATTAGAGTAAAACGGAAACAAAATTTCATTTTTAATGATTAAGCATGGGATTATTTTACTAAAGAATATCGAATATTTTTACTCAGATTTTGGGAATTTCCTTGCCCTAAAAATATCGTTATTTTTTATTTGTTCTCATTCGTATAAATTGTTAAACAAAAGAAAAATTGCGTCATTTAAATAATTCATATATGTCCAGGTATTGTGAAAGTTTAGAAAATTCAAACAATGTGACAATTATCTGGTTTTCTCTTCTTTTCAATTCCTATGCTATTATAGTTTACACACTATCTCTATAAATTTATATCCCTATATATATATATATATATATATATATATATTCTTCAAATTTTCAGTCGTTAATGAAATACTTTTTTTTTATCCACTCAAGTTAAAATACATATTTTTAAACTTGTAGTGGATAGCACTTGATGTTAATACAGATTTTTTCAAAAATTTACTCATTAATTAAATTTAAGTAATTAATAAAGAGTAAAAAACAGAAATAACAGTCCAACACCATATATAAAAAGGAAAGTCTCTTGCTGAGTCCCTTTAGTGCAATGGATAGCGCGTTGGGCTTCTAATCCAAAGGGCGTGGGTTCGAAATCCACCTATGATGGCCTAATTTCTGAAAATGTGATTTATTTTTGCTATATTATTTTGTTGGAATAAGTAAATAAAATTAATGAAAAAGAGTAACAAACAAAAACAAAAAAATAGTTCAACACCCTATATAGAGAAGAAAATGGAAATTTGAAAGGAAAATCGCTTTCTATTTTGCCACTTTATAGTGTGATTCTGTCATATGTATATACATATTTTTATATTAGTTGTAATTACTTAATAAAAAGTAAACAAAAAAAATAAATTTTTCCTTGTTGACCTAAGTAGGAATTGACTTAATTTACTTATATTACTTGTTTCCTGGAAATTCCTCACTATTACACTCCCTATAAATACACGTGTACTTCTTTTTACTTAAATAAATTTAATTATCCAAACCCCGCGCGACACAGCAGCAAACAAATTTCTCCGATATTTATTATTTCCCCATTCAACCGTAACTAACAAACTAAACTCCCCCTGGTTGTTAATCAGGTCTATTAATTAGGTATAAAAAACAGAACTGAGTTTTTTGATAGTATCACGTATTTTAAATCCAAAATCTATGTATTCCAGAAAAAAATCCGACTTGCTTTCACCACGAGATTTATATCCGAAAGCGGCAGCGAAAATTAAATTCGGAAAACGATTTAAATACCGAAGAATGTCTGGGGTGAAAATACCATGAGCTATTAATAATGTGCTTCGAAAAACTTTGCTTTGGTGTAATTTGGTGTTAAAAAATATTGCTCCGTTCAGCGCTAGAGCAAGCATTTGTTACACAACAGTATCCAAGTTTCGTGTTAACTGTTACGCGAATGGTTATAAATAACTCAAGTTTTAGTTACTCTTAAAATTGTATATTTACTTTAAAGCTAATGGAAATTTATGATTTCAGATTTCAAGCTTTTTCTGCGAAATGTATTTATTTATCTGTAGTTTCTAAATAAGCAACACAAATCATGTTTGTTTGTTTTTCTTTAAAAACAGACATGGATAAATAAGGAAAAATAACTTGAACAATGATCTAAGAAAACGGAGAACATGTTGAACTAAAATGCGAATTAAAAGAATTTCTTTCCTACAAAATACAGTCTGATTTAAGCAGTCCGTTTAATTAAAGTTTTACATCTTGATGGATGTTCCAGATGTGTTTATGAAAGAAATATGACAGAAACTACTTTTTTGGAAAATGATGATGGTCATGCATCCTAGTTTAATTAATTTTCAGGTAGAGTTGAAAATATTTACGCAATGCTTGCATACTCTGACATTGCTTCTATATTGGTCTTAAAGAATCTTTTAAGAATGTCCAGAATGATTTCGTGATAACTTATTTAATGTTTGAAAAACACAGGTTAGCTTATTAAATGTCCGATCTGTCAACTTTTCTTTCTGGATTTTAAGTCTATCTCCCACTGTTTATTAAGGTATTCGACTACCCTAAAATTGTGAATATTGCCAAAAATTGACAGTTTTTTATGGTTTTGTTTTATAGGCCATCTTATTACCTTTATAAAAATACCAAGTTTATCGTTTTCCATTAAATTGAACAAATCTATAAGTGTTTTAGTAAATCACAGATGTCACTACTTTAAGCAAGATGCCATATTTTAAAATGCGTTTTACTCGACATACGTTATTTTTTTTTTTTTTTGAAAAGGCTCAAACGGGGACAGCAATTGCTCAAAAAGTAAAAATATTTAACAGAAATTTTTTGTGTATGTTCTTTATAATGGTAGAAGTGTTTTATGCTTCAGATTTATTAATCTCTGTTTTATTACATAATTTACGGTCCCTTAAGTGAATATAATCATTTTTTTAAAGCAATTTCATATAATAACTAAGATAAAGTGATCTAGTTTTTGTAAAAATTGAAATATGTCTTATCCCGAAAATCATTTCAAAAAATAAACAGCAAAGCAACACACGAAAATTTAAAAAATTGAAAATTTGTCCGTAAATTTTTTGTACAGAATGGGCATCATTTATGTAATTTTTTGTAGATTTTTACCAATTTTTTCCCATTTTAGAAATAATAATTTCTTTTTTTTCTTATTTTAGTATATTGTTCTTAACCCGCAGGCGCAAGTGACTGCTACCGTCGTTGCTCTAAGGGTCTGGAGAATAACCCAAACATTTAACAAAAGTGTGTGTGTACTTATGTACGGAAGTAAGAAATTATACTTCTTTGGCGTAACAAGATTAAAATCTTTCTAAAAATCTTTAGCACGGCAAGCTGGCCCCTCGTCCTTTTTCCCTAACGCCAAAAAAAAAGGATAACTTCAAAAATAAATATGCGAATACACAAAAGGCTCTTATAATTTGCTACAATGTAATAAATGTGTTTATGTTCATCGCAATGTTTTAATAGTAAATACATCTATAATCATATACTTGCAACTATTATTTAAGTATGTAAACTAATACTAACCTTATGTTTTATGTACATCAAACACAATTTAAAGATTAATTTACTAATTATTTTTTTAATTTCCTGTAAGTATGTTTGGTTTAATAACAATAAGTGTTCAAACAAATGCATCAGAGAAGCTCCATAGGCGAAGGACGATCTCTCCCTACTAGTACTGATGTCACAAATCAGCGCAAAGCAAAGGTTCCCAGACGCGGAGGGAATAGCTCAGTGGTAGAGCATTCGACCGCTAATTGAGAGGTCCATGGTTCAAACCAAAGTGTCCCTTTCTTCAGGGAAGTGGAGAGAAATATATTTTTGAGAAATTTGAAGGTGGGAATGATCTTTCCCGTTCTGTATATTTCTAGACAGAGCATTTTCGTATTCGTTCTTACGGAACGCAAAGCAAAAGCTCGCTGATACGGGGTGTATAGCGCAGTGGTAGAGCATTCGAATGCAGATCGAGAGGACCCCGGTTCAAACCTGGGTGTCCTCTTCATCAGGGAAGTGAAGAGAAATATTTTTTTGAGAATTTCGAAGGCGGCAATGATCTGTCCCGTTCTGTATATTTCTAGACAAACTAATTTCGCATACGGGACGGTGTGCTTCACTTCCGTGGCGGTTTCTCGTCACATCCGTGACGGTGTGAGCGCGCATCGTAAAAATTCACAATCATCCTATTTCTCTAACACCCAAAAATATGTATAACTTCAAAAATTGAGTTAATTATGATACATATTTATGAAATACAATATGTTTTTTGTGTATTATACCTATAAAATTATTATATTGCTTACAAGTGATTCTAACATAAATTTAAATTTAAACCTACATCATTTTCCTTTTAAAATATACACAATTTTATATTTTTTTCATAAACTACCAGTATAAAGCTTTATATACCAGTAATAAATATACTTTATAATAAATGGTAAGGATAGTAGAAAGTAGAAAAACAATATTTTAATCATTTCAAAACATTCAGAGCCGACTGTATTCATATGCTTTAAGCACATATTTTTCTTACTTTGAAGACAAAAACAATTAGTTTTTACATATTTTACCCATGAAGAAATAGTGCAGCACCCTTTTTTTTGGAGGGGGGGGATTAATGCTCTTTTTAATACCTTCTGTGTCAGTAAAGCTTCTTTTGAGTGTTTTGTTAAGATTTGGTAGTTCCGATCTCATATCCCATCCTTTCTGCATAAAAATCATTTTTAATTCCCCTTAATCTTGAACGTTTTTTTTTGGAAAAACCTGGTC